ACTGGAATAAAGCAGTTTTCCCCATCTGGTATTACACTTCTCTACCAAAAATGGATTTGTAATTTCATATCTAATGGAATTCTCTACTGTTCTAGGCATTCTGGTTGTCCATTTCACTAATAACTATAATTCCCAGGTAAAGTTCCTAAACTTTCATTTTCTTCCATGGACTTTGGAGCAGTTTGCAGTATGACTCATACCCAAGACAGTAACTGAAACTGAAAGATACTTTCATGTCCCAGAAGAAAACAGCAACTTATTTTTCTACTTTGAAAAATGAACTGTCAGAAGAGATGAGATTAATTACACATCAAGACCATTTATCTTCTAAATGAATGAATCTATAAGCCATATTAGTATAGATGTAGCTACATCAACATTATAAAATAGTGAACCCTGGTGTTCTGACAAAGATTTTTGGTGGTTTTGGATATCTTAGTCTATTGGGATAAATTATAACAAATTGAAAAATGAAAATCAAGAAATAACATGTTGGGAGAGAAGTATAGTGATATGTACTTAATATAGAAGCTGAATTCAAAAGAGTCATGGCATTATTATCTCATACCCTTGGTCATAGTGTTAGAAATCAACCATCCTAAGATTTTTGTGAATCAACTAATAAAATAATTTTATTTAAAAAATTGACTTCTAGGTATTTTTTTGCACATAGTATGGAAGTTTAGTGTTATTTCCTAAGAAGTGCTAAGGGAATAAACTAATAAAATAATTTTATTAAAAAAAATTGACTTCTAGCTATTTTTTTGCACATAGTATGGAAGATACTATGTTTAGTGTTATTTCCTAAGAAGTGCTAAGGGAATATATATATTCTCAGTATAAAGCAACTACTTCTCTGACATTTTCGTTGTCAATGGAATAAGCATTTCCCAATGGTAGAGAAAAATATTAAAGGAGAATTAACTACTATTTTGGGATGCATTTCACTGAGCATGTTCCTACTAAGAAAAATGTTTAATAAAATACATACATCTTTTTTTCCTTTAGTAAGCGTGACTGAAGTATTCTAGCCAACGTTTTATTTGTAGAAATAGAAATCTTTAGTTAAATCAACAGAAAGACCCAGTACCTGAATTTAATTCAAGTTTAAACTCATTTTTTTCTGTAGTGGATTTAAACCAGTCTTTAATCTATCATAAAAATAAGCAATGATTAGTTTATAGGTATATATTTCGATCTTATATTTAAATTTGTTCTCTATGTAAAAGTCTTCATTAGTTTTACAACAGCTTCCAGAAGTTCTGCTTTTGAAACCTACACTCGGGATCCTCTGAGGATTTCTTCCATAGGTCTTGGTGTTCCAGCGCGTGAATGGCTTGTACTGATGGGATGAAGGGTTCGTGGTGGAGGGTTGCGTCTCCTGGTGGACTGCACTGTATATGACAGAGATGATGTACAAAGGTCCAGGGCTCGATTTGCCCAATTTCGGGTTGAAAGGATGGTACTGGACCCGGGCCTCATAAGTAGCTTGTCATCAATATCTCTAGTGGCCAAATCAGAAACCCACAGTGAAATCAAGGTTTCTCTATACCAGAGACAAGACTCAAAAGAGTAAAAAGCCTTAGACTATAAAATACATTCGAGGTAGAAAACAAAAGTAAAAATCCATTCAATCAGTAACTTAGTTTCTAAAAATTATGTAATCTGACTTAGGTATGAGAACGTGTTCTTAAAGACCACTTCACGCATACACATAATTTACTAGAATGGGGATTTAGGAAACCAAGTCCCTTATTCACCTGCCATCACAGTCACTTCAGTTACCAGTGAAGGCTAACCTGAAGGGTACCTCCTCCAAAATATTTCCCAAAAGTTTACCTCAGGGACTGAGATTCCTACCATATTTGAGGCATTCTTTTGTGCTGAAGGAATGTCACCAGAAAAACAACACAATGGTAAATATTGCTGCTTGGGAGTAATGTGGTACCAATGTGGCTCCCACTGTGGAGATTAAAATGCTGAGCTATTTGGAGCCTGCAAGGGTAGGAGTGTGGGTCCCTCGGAAAGCTGGGAGCAGGCAAAGGGTCCAGAGCCTTGGGCTGTCCAAGGTAGAAGGACCACAGTAGATCCTCATTTGCATAAGCAACTGAAATAGAACACTTTGGTGTAAGTACTCTGATAAAATACCTTGTCCAAATAGTTCAGCAGCTTAAATTCGGCCTTACAGACTCAGGAGTTTTGTTTTTTAGGCAGATGAGAGGACGTTTGGCTCTACTGTAAGGCACCTAAGAGGCAGCACTTGCACAATGAAATGGGAAAGTGAAAGAATAAAGCTCTGTCATGTGTTATTTGGTTTTCAGCAAGTTCTTCAACCTTTCAGGACACATTACTGTCCTCTAGTGCAAAATATTCCTCAATGTTTGGTGGACTTTGAAGGGAAAGTGCTCGTCAGGAAATAGGACTAAGCCTTGAGCATTACAAGAGATCTTTTTGGTTTCCAGCCTCCCTATCCATTCAGTTATGTATTTTCTTTACATACTATACTTTCTAATTACAGAAGGTTTAGTCTATGGCCATGCCACCCTGAACATGCTCGATCCCATCTGATCTCAGAAGCTAAGCAGGGTCGGGCCAGGTTAGTACTTGGATGGGAGACCACCTAGGAAGACCTACAGGTGCTCTAGGCGTAAAAAAATTAAAAAAAAAATAAACATAAGGGATTGTAAACTGATAAGGGCCTTGCAGTCGGTGAGGTCAACAAAGGGTTGCCTCGCCTAAACAAAAAAGGGGAAAAAAAATAATTACAGAAGATTTAGGCCTTAGCTACTCTTTGCCAACATTATTTTGTCCTCCAGCTACTCATTCATAATTCTAGATTCAATTACCACCTCTAGCTAAGTGACTTCTAGATCAACTGCCAAATCTGACCCATATTTCCCACAAGATGCCCCATCACTGTAAACCCAACACACCCCAAACGAAACTCATCTTCTCCTCTCCCAAACAAGCTTCCCTTGAGTGTGAAATCTCCAAGGTAACTGATTCTTTTCTTTTTATAGAATTTGATTTCTTTTACAATATCTCCAGATATATTTAATTTGCTACAACTTGAGTGTAGACCCTTAGCAGCGTATGCTTGAACTCCTGCATTAGATTCCTTACTTTCAGTTCCTCCTGCTGCAATCCAGTCTCTGTTCTGCTGTGAAATCTATCTTTCAAATTCCTGATTTAAATATATGTGCTTCCCAACTGAAACTCATACATTGCTGGTGGGAGTATAAAATGGTGCAATTACTTTGGAAAATTGTATGGCATTTTCACTTCTAGATATTGACCCAAGAAAATGAGACCATAGGTCTACAAAAAAGATCCGTGCAAGAATATATTTAGTGCCTTTCCGCATAACTAACTGCCCCTATCTAGAAACAGCCCAAGTATTCATTAATAGAAGAATGGATAAACAAATTGTATATTCTTAGAATAGAATGCTACTTGGCAATAAAAGAGAAGGTAACATGCAACAACATGAATGGATCTCAAAAACATGGCATTCAATACCCTCCACAGTCTGGTCCCAACCTTCATCAATTTCATAGTCTCTTCTTTTTCCCTAATCATACCATGGCCTAATTTAATTCTAGAAGATTGTCAATAATCTTTGGTCAGAAGCATTAAAGTTCCGACCTATCTCCTATCCTATTATAGCAAAAATGGTTTTTCTCTTTTACATATTTTGTGTTTTCCCATCTCCAAACCTTTTCCCACACCATTTCTCCTACCTAGAATAAATAGCCTTACTGCTCTTCTCTGCTTATGCACACTCTCATCTTTCAAGGGCAAGTTCAAAATCTATACTTACCCAGCAAAATGCCTCCCTTCTTTGGGGCTGCCATAGCACTCACTCTGGGTGCCATCCACTTAGCATTCAGTCACAAAAATGCCCTGTATGGTTAGGTCTCTTTCTACCTGTGTGTGTCTTCTCTTTCTAGTTATATTATTGGCTCCTTGAACTTGAAGACCATTTCCCTTAGATGCTTTTACTTTCTAGGTGTCTGACTGCTTGTTCGCTATTCAATATGTTCATGTTGATTGACTGACTGTCCTATTCTCAGTGATCTACGTAAACTCTATAGTCTTTTACAATTTTATACTTCTTACAGGAGTTTGTCCATTAGGGAGAGATTTCTTGGCTGTAGAGGCATCCCATGAACCAAGAGACCATTCACATTTGGCTGATGACCACTTGCTGCTTGACAGAGACTCATCTATATGTTAAAAGAAGACGTTACTCATTGGTTGGTGAAGATACCTGCTTAGTTGTCCAACTTTGCCAAAAGTTATTTCCAAATTAGGTCATTTATACATTTTTCTCATATGCCTTAACTTTTGTAATATCTTGGCCAATAGCCCAGCTGGGGCCCTAAGTTCACTGTCAAGATGACAGTGAACTTAGTCCTGAGGGATGTGGGGGGACAATCCCTCAAGATGACAGGGTCATAGTCCTTTCCTCTCTATTCCTAAGTGACAGCAGGTGGGGTAAGCCTGATCAATCTAGATGAAAGCACTTAACAGCCACTGTCACAGAGGAGAGAGGACCTTTATTATTTTTGTTACTTACATTACATTATAAAAGAAAACCTAAAAAGAAAAAACAAATATGGAACAAAAATGGAAAAAATAAGGGTAAGCTCTAACAATCTCACATAGTCCTCCACTCTATAGAAACTAATCCTTTCTCCACTACCGCTGGAGTAGTCAGCTCTCACTGATAACCTAAATTCTGAAGACTTATTAGAAGGTGTTAATCTTATTTGTTCAAATGTTAGCAAGATTTACTCTTACTTGGACTGACATCACCACCTCAGTGTCCTGTTTCTTTTTTCTCTCAAGCCTTCAGTTTGGCCGTCTCCTTTGCCATGCATTTTCCTCCTACTTTCTCTGAAGAATGTTTGGATTAACACTTCTTCTTTTTATTATTAAAAATCAAAGCCATTTAACTGTTTGGGACTCAGTTTTCTTAAACCATAGCCAAACCAGTTCAACATGTAGAAGTATTTTATTACAACCAAAGGAACATTAGTTCACCTGGTTCATCCTTTAATGCAATATGGTATGGGCCTTATTTTAAATAGCTCATTTATAAGTCCAGCTGCACAATATCTGGCCAGTATATTAACAAAGCAAATACTAGATCTGGTAGTAAAATCCAGGGTTGATGAGTATGGTCTAAGGATTAGAGTCCTTTTTCTCTCTTTTTTTCCCTCCCCACTACCCTCCAACTCTTTTGTCACAAATAACACTGGGAAATTAACATGTAGGAACTGGCACTACATAAGTCATTACACTAAGAAGAGACCAGGCAGGCTCATCAACCTGTAAGAAATGGCCATCTTTATGCTTGTTCATAGACTTAATTAAGACTCTTTCTCCTCTCTCTGGTTTGCCTTTTACACCTGGGTTATGAGTGCTGAACCTCCATAAGGCAAAAAAGTCAACAGATTCAAATATTTAAAAAACAAAGACTAGGTAAGCAGAGGTAAGAGAAAAAGGAAGGCGTCAAAAAGAAAGTCAAAGGGCAGAATGTTAAGACCATAAAAAATCTGAGACTTGGTCCCTCTTTTCATTATATCCTTCATTCCAGAACAGAGTTAGGCTCACCACACAGTTGATTCTAGATTGCACAGCTTATAGATGCCTTTTCAAAAGAGCTGACTGAAAATAACCATAATTTGCTATTAATTTTTTAAACTGAAATTAAATTTGTCAACACGTAGAGTCCCTAGATTATCGTGATAAACACGTAACTTTACTGAAAAAAAAATTGAGTCATAAATAATACAACTAAGGCAAATAACTCTGAGCAAACTTCCTCTGGCAAGAATAGTCCTAGGTTCTTCAGTATATTCCCCTGTGGGGCTTACCGGATTCGAGGTGATGGACAGCACCTTAGACTGTGGCACTCGAGGTAAGACCAAAGGTTGTGGTTCACTCAGCACACAGGGGCTTTGTGAAGCTGATCTGGTGATTGCAATATTACTCTCATCATCTGAGCAAAGGAACAGAATCTATTATCCATGGATATCTCCAGACCCACAGTATTGTGAAAAAAAAAATCTCCCCTCAGATCTCGTGGTCTCAAGCTAGGCTTCACTCATATTAGCAGCCCAATTTCATACAGCATGCATGATTCAAAAACGAACAAGCAAACAAAATACCTCAAACCAAGAATTTCGTTTAAAGCAGGCTGGCAATGCCTATTGGTACCTGGCAGAAGGAAAAGCAAAGATATCTAGAGCAAAGCTTGTGCAACAAAGTATTTGCACTTGATAGATATGTTCTACATATGTATTGTCCAAAATAGTGGCCTCTAGCCACATGTGGCTACAGAGCACTTAAAATTTGGTTTGCTTGAGGAACAGAATGTTAAATTTAATAGCCACACGTGACTAGTAACTACTACAATGAACAATGTAGTCCTAGGGGAACCTTCAGATTGTTAATCTAGGCTTCAAAGAATTTCCACATAAAGTTACAAGATTAAAACCCACTGTTAAAAATCACATGATCCAAGAGGAAACAAAATACCTTGAGAAAGAGCAAGCAGAAATACATAATCAGGTCAGCAAAGACTTCCGAAATTGGAATGATCAGGTTCGAAATGTAAAACAAATGAAGCAATTAAAAATATAAGTAAAGAGTAAGACATAAAAATACCCAAGTAGATTTGTAAAAGAAGAAAACTACAAAAGAACTAAAATTACTAAAAAACTCAGCAGAGAGTTAATAATGTTAGATCCTTCTGAAGACAGACTTAGTGAACTAGAAGAAAAAGATCTAAGGAATTCATCCTGAATTCATTCCAGAGGAAAGGAGGTGGGAAATATGTACACTAAAAAGGGTGAATTTTGCTGTATGTAAATTATACCTTAATTTTTTAAATGGTGAAATAAAACCACAATGAAACACCCTTTTATACATTGACAAAAAAATGATCAGTAGCTATTGAAGAGATTGTGAGCACAGGAACTCGTGTACTGTTAGTGGATATATAGAACAATCACTTTGGGCAATTGGGGATTATCTAGCGTAGTTGAAGACGCATTTCTCTATGAGCCAGCAACTCCACATGATGGTGTATGCCCTAGAGGAACTCTTGCACATGTGTACCAGAAGACTGCTCAAGAATGTTCATAGCTTCATTAATCATAATCAAAATATTGGATTTTGGCATTTCCAAAAACCTGGGATTTTAGCACTTCTCACCATCAATTTTGGCTCCCAAACTGACTTCAAGATGTGGAATCATGTTTTTGAGTAGAACTAATATGAACTCTCGGTTGTCATTGTTTCTAAATCACTTCATCATCTTGTTTATTACTGCTTCATTCAGAGAAGGTGTACCTTTTCTTGACAAAAATGTCTAGTGAAGTTTGTTTTCCCATTAGCAAATTAGAGTTAAAGATAATTTTTAAATATTATTCCATAATTTGGATTTTAAAACTGGTCTGATTAAAAGTTAAAAGAGTTGTTAAAAAAGTTATAAAATAAATTATTACATTCAGTTTCATAAACTACTCAGTTACAGTTGACAAACCTTAAAATACCACAAGTTGTCATGTGGTGTTTTAAAAAATCTTATTGTAGCAAGATATACATGAAATTTACTATTTTAACCATTTTAAAGTATACTGTTGAGTGGCATTAAGTACATGCATGGTGTTGTGCAACCTTCACCACTATCTATTCCATAACTTTCACCACCCCAGTGGGAAACCTTATGCCTGTTACCACCATCTGTGTTTTCAACAGTAGCTTGTGTTTTCTTGTTGTATAGAACACTGTTGTAAGAATGTATCACATTCTACTGGAGGGATACTTGGGCAGTTTCCAGTTTATGTCTCACAGTGTAGTTATGCACCTTCTTATATATGTCTTTGGTGAACATACATACTAAATATATAAGAGTGCACATGGATATATCCACTCATTTATATATTGTTTATGGCAGTTTTCAAGGGCAGAGTTGAGTAATTGTAACAGAGACTGGATGGCTGGCAAAGACTAAAGTATTTACTACTTGGCTTTTTATGCACAAAATTTGCTGACTCCTGTTTTAGGGAATTTCAATCAGCCCACTAAACCAGTTAGAGATCCTGCAGCTCCATTTCAAGATCAGTGTCTTTGTTTTAAGACTTTAATTCTAAAAATCACAGCGACAATGAAATGACGTAAATTATATATGCACAGAAAAATAAGCTGAAAGCATATTAATTCACAGCCCAACATTGGTAAATTGTGATAGGCAAAATCAATGTTTTCTCTGATATCTCAGTGGCTGATACTGAAAACTAAAGGAGTTCCTTTATCTCCAGCATTTATTACTAAGTTTGACTGTGGACTTTATCACCTGTTCTGTCTCCAAAAAATTAACCTCACTTAATATAAACCAGTTAGTTTTTAAAAGTTTTATTGTTCTCCAATACCAGCTTAAAAAGAGAACTTACATATATACAAAAGAATGGCTTTAAAAAAGAAACCACAGTATCAACTGGCCGATGTGTGAAGCAACTATGGAAAATGTAGAGCAACTGGAATTCTCATAAAATACTGGTGAGAGTGTAAATAGGTGCAGCCACTTTGGAAAAATTTATGGCAGTATTCACTGACATCGGAATAGCATATCCTATGACCCAGCAATGCTGCTCTTCTGTATCCAGTACATATGTTTACCAAAAGACACATACAAGAATGTTCATAACTGCACTGTATGTAGGCAAACAAACTGGAAACTACCCAAATGTTTATCTACAGTAAAATGTGATATACAATTGAAAACTATAACAATGAAAATAAACTCTTGTTACAAGCAAAACTTGAATTTAACGATGTTGAGTTTAAAAGCCAGGTGAAGGGCACATACTATACAAATGTGTTTTTACGAAGTTTTAAAACAGGTACAATTACTCTGTGGTGTTATGTCAGAAAAGGGTTATTCTTAGGGAAGTAGTTTAGTAACTGAAAGAAAGCATGAGAAGGGCTTCTAAAGTGTTGGTAATGTTCCGTCATACAAATGTTTCTAAAATAAGCTTACTTGATATAAACTTATTCTGTGATTTTCTATATAGATATACTTTAATAAAAAGTTTAAAAATTTTGCTGGACTTCTGCTTACAGCCAAGATGGAATAACAGACTGGCTTTACTCTCCTGCTTCAAACAATAAATCCATGAGACTGGAAATCGGGTCATGAAAGATCAGATCATGAGATGGTAAACCAATGAGGCTAGCCCTACGATTGCCTTGAAAGAGTTTCCAAGACGTGACACAAAGAGGGAGAACAGAGGAAGACCCTGGTGGACTCCCTGATTTGAGAGTCCAGAGAGACCAAGAGAGCTAGGGTTCATAGGACAGTACCAGAGAGGAGGAAAGTGAACAGAAAGAGAACCCAGGATATCTGCAGAGGATAGGGTGTTACTTTAGTACTCAAAAGAGTACTGATCAGTGCATGTGTGAGAAAAAATACCTGAGGCTAGGAAAGACAACCAACTGAAAGAATTAGAGGGAACAGTGCCTGCTGCTTATACAAGATCAGAAAAATTCCCTGCTCCCACCAGCCATACTAGAAAAACTCATAATTCATGGGTAATTGGACAGAGTACTTGGGAAGATCTTGCTTTAGTAGCTGGGGAATAATTAGCTCTATAGTGAGCATTGCTCCAGACCTGCCTAACGAATCATAAAAGCAAGACCAGAAAGGACAGAACTTATTTCAAGTAACTGCATCCCAGAAAAAGACCAGGAAAATTTATACGAATAAAAAAATTCACCCCCAATAGGATAAAATTCACAATTTCTAGCATCCAAAGATTACCAGGCAGGAAAACACAACTCAGAATGAGGAGAATGTCAATCATTGAAACCAACCCAGATGTCGAATTATTCCACATTTTTCAAAAAATTAGCAACATGGGAGATATTAACATCACTCATATTTCATAGAAAACAATGTCTGAGTAGAAAAATACACTGGATGAGCTTAACAGTAGATTCAACATTGCAGAAGAAAAGATTAATGAACTTGAAGGCACAATAATAGAAACTATCCAAAATGAAATATACGGGGGCGGGGCGGGGGAATGTATCTGAGGGATAAGTGATCAAATGGATTAAATATGAGTAACTAGAGTCCTGAGGGATGTGGGGGGACAGAAAATATCTGAAGAAATAATGGCTGAAAACTTTCCAAACAAAACAAAAATGCATAGATCTAAATAGTTCAACAAACTCCAAGCAGAAGTAACATGAAGAAAATTATATTGAGGCACATCATAATCAGATTGCTCAAAAGCAGTAATAAAGAGAAAATCTTAAAAGCCACCAAAGAAAAAAAGACATGTACACAGGAACAAAGAAAAGGATGACATCAGATATCATGTCACAATGCAAGTGAGAAGAGAGTGGACAACATCTTTCAAGTACTGAGAGAAAAACTGTCCACCTAGAATTCTGTACCCTGAAAAATTGTCTTGAAAGAAAAAGCAAAATAAAGAAATTTTCATATCTACAAAAGAAAGAATTCATCATCAACAAACTCACATATAATAAATGTTAGAAGACGTCTTTCAGATTGGAAGAATTAAAAAAAAATTTAATGAGAAAAAATCTACATAACATAAAATTTGCCACTTTAAACCATTTCATAATATACAATTAAGTGGTTTTTAAAAATTATATTCACAATGTTGTGCAACAACCACCACTATTTAATTCAGAAAATTTCCCTCATTCCAAAAAATCCCATAGTTCCCAATTCCCCTCTTCCTCCATCCCCTGGCAACCACTAAACTACTTTCTGTCTCTATAGATCTTCCTGTTCTGGACATTTCATCTTAATGGAATCATAAGATCATATAATACACGGCCCTTTGTGTCTGGCTACTTTCTCTTAGCATAATATTTTCAAGGTTCATTCATGTCATAGCATGAATCATTACTTAACTCTTTTTATGGATGAATAATATTCCATTACATGGTCTATTAGTTACT